GGTGGGTGCACATAGATGCCCCAGCGGGCGCCATGGCGCCCGCGGGCACCGCGTTGGGGACCACTGAACTAGCGTCTCTATTAATAAGACGCGTCCAGTGCTCTGGGACCGGTCCTGCCACGCCAGCTTGCACTGGGTTTGGGAAAGATGAGGGTGGTTGGTACTTCACAGAATCTACAGGTTAAGGCCAGAGGGGAACGTATGGATCGCCTAATCTCAGTTCCTCCGCTTTGGAGGGATGTGCTAGATCTTCACCTATCCCATCGAACTAGCGTCTCTATTAATAAGACGCGTCCAGTGCTCTGGGACCGGTCCTGCCACGCCAGCTTGCACTGGGTTTGGGAAAGATGAGGGTGGTTGGTACTTCACAGAATCTACAGGTTAAGGCCAGAGGGGAACGTATGGATCGCCTAATCTCAGTTCCTCCGCTTTGGAGGGATGTGCTAGATCTTCACCTATCCCATCGCCCCCCTTGGCGCCTCCCCTCCCAGGGGGCTAGGAACTTACTTCAGGTCCTGTAAGCTGTAAACCAGCTGAGTTTTCTGGTCGGGCGACATGCGAGCGAAAATCGTGGCCTGAATTAGGATCTGAAAGGGAAAGCGCGTCACCGTTAGGGAAGCGAAGGCACCAGCAGCCAGCCTGGCTACACAACAGACTCATGGAGCGCTGCTTCAGGGCCAGAGTCTGGGGCACCTCAACACGCTGGAAGTGGCTGCTGCCCGAGAGGAGGGCCGTTCTCCTTGCTGGCGTGACGCTGCTCCCCGGTTTGCTTCCACAGGGAGTAGATGGGGACGGTGGATCGTGGCCAGCGGCATCCAGGCAGCATCTGCTGCTGGTTCTTATGGGGATTTGGGATCACTGGTCCCAGAGACTCCTCAGAAATGGCCAGTGATGGTGGGAACCCCAGGGACCACGTGTAGGGGAGACTCCTAGCTACAAAGGGCCCTGAAATCCTACAGGAGAGGGGCTGCCTCCTCGCACGGGTTGCAGGGAGACAAATCGTGGCCAGCGGCATCCAGGCAGCATCTGCTGCTGGTTCTTATGGGGATTTGGGATCACTGGTCCCAGAGACTCCTCAGAAATGGCCAGTGATGGTGGGAACCCCAGGGACCACGTGTAGGGGAGACTCCTAGCTACAAAGGGCCCTGAAATCCTACAGGAGAGGGGCTGCCTCCTCGCACGGGTTGCAGGGAGACAAATAGGGTTGCCAGATGGTTGAACCAAAAGTACCGAACACCCCTCCCCCTTAAAAAAAACCAACCAAACAAAAAAAAACAAAAACAAAAAAAACAAAAAAACCACACCCCCCCACAGAGGAAAAAATTCTGTTGAAAAAAAAAAGGGGGGGAAGAAACCAAAGTTGTTGAGAAAAAAAATTAAATAATAAAACAGCATTAAAAAAGCATGGCCCCTTTCACAGTGAGTGCAGAGTTAGGAACAGGGGAGCAGTTGAGCACTAAGACCCAGGGAAGGCATTGCTTCCCCTGGGTCTTTAGGCTTTTTCCCAGCGGCCATTTTGTGTTCTTGTTCAAGCCAGAACTCAGCTTCTCTGTGGAACCAGATAAGCATGGGGGCGGGGGCGGTGGGTGTGGGGGCCCGGGGCGCTAGGGTTGCCAGGTGTCCGGTATTTTCGCTTCCTGGCTGGGGAAAAAAAAAATCAGAACTTACCAGACATTTTAGGTGTCTAGTATTTTCTGAATTTTTTTTTTTTTATCAGAGGGCGAAAATACCGGATTGTCCGGGTCAATACAGGATACCTGGCAACCCTCGAGACAAACCCACAGCCGCCCGGGCACACGGCAGCTTGTTCTGCTCCTGCCAGGCTTGGGCAGAAAACAAGGAGACGACGCGTAAAGCCCAGCCGGGGGCGGGCAGGAGACCGTAGCTGTCCCCACTGCCCAGCATCTGCAGGGCAGGCTTTGCCACCACCAGGCTGCTCGCGGGAGGCGGGAGGAGAGGGAAGGACTCACCCTGGGGAGCAGGTGGGGGAAGTGTTCGCAAACCACAGCGAAGGATTTCCCGTTCAGCGCCAGGTGACAGGGCGGCTGCTCAAGGAAGGAGGCATCCTGCTGGTACAGGCCCTGCGGACCAAACCACAGCACCGGCCGCTCAGCTCCTTGCCGGCTTGGCTCCTCATGTCGCCCCGCAGCTGTGATCAGTAGCCGGCGGGGGGGAGCAGGATGCGACAGCCGAGGCAGGGAAATCCTCCCTCTCCAGGCCAACACAAGAGCTGGATTGCGATCAAGCCGGGCCAGCCCCTGGACCCAACTCAGGGTCACGCCCAGTTCTCAGCTCGCTGGAGATGGCCTGTCCGGACTGAGGAAGGGCAGGGCAGAGCGGATCCCAACCAGCCAGATGTTGGGAGCAGCCACAGAGAAGCTCAGGACCAGCCTGCTCCGGCCTGGGCCTGCTTGTTGTGGTGTGAAGGGGATACATATGTTCAGGGGGTGGAGGGGTGGCCTGCTTGCAGGAGCAAGACACAGGGCACTTGGGTAGCTCCTGGACCAGTGGGGCTTAGCTCCTGACAGGGGCCTCCGGGCGACACGACGTTGCAGAAAATGGAGGCGGAAAGGAGGAGGGGAACCAGTTACCAGGCTCCACTGCAGGGCCCCGTGCTACGGGACGTGCGGCAGCCAGCCCTCCAAAGCCAGCTCTCTGCTGTACCAGCCTGACACACCCAGCTGTGGGGACGAGGGCGCTTGCAGGGCCGTGCGTGCGCCATACTCTCACATGAGGGAAGGGACCCACCCACACAGCTGTGGGGGCTTCCTGGGACTCACTTCTGGCTGCTCCTGGCCCTGGGGGGCATCGTCGGAGATGAATTTGAGGGCGGCGGGTTTGTCGTGGCTGGGACCACCACCCGCTCCTTCACCTCCACCATCCGGCAGCTCTTGGCCACATTCACTGCTGTCAGCATGTTGTCCCCTGGCAAGGAGAGACAGATGGGGTGGGGCGGGGCCACACCGGCCCACAGCCAGAACCAGACTTAGCACTGCTGAGCTTGCCACAGTTCATAATAAAGAAAACGAAAAAGCAGGAAAGGAGAACTTCCCCATTCAGCCGGTCTACAAAAAAAAACTTCCACACCTCCTGTAACCATCAAAGGGAAACAAGCATGGCACGAGCCCGGATCACGTCTTTTCCAGGCGCCCCTGGATGTCTGTAAAGAACTTTGAGATCCCTTGAATCTCCCCGGCCCCTCCCATGGTGAATTCGGTCCGATTTGCTAACCACGTTTTACGGACGAATAAACTAAGGAGCAGAGCGACTTGCCCGAGGATACTCGGTCAGGGGCAGAGTTAAAAACAGAACTCCAGACTTCCAGGAGCTCTAACCATTAGGCCCCACACTTCTTCAAAAGGCTGTTTATTACATTAGTGTGGCAAGGAGCTATAAATATGTGATCTCTTCGACAGATGTGGCCTCTTCCTTCCCCACTAGGGATGTGAACGACTAACCGATAAGCAAGTGCTTATTGGATAGTCAACATGCTAATCAACTAGTAGCTTCCCTCCCCACCTTGCTGCCTCTATCAGAAAAAGGAAGCGGGGGAAGGGGAGATAAGGGGGTGCTTCAAAGCAGCAGCTCCACGGGGAGCCCGTGGCCAGACCCTGGGCTCCATGTGGCACTGCTGCTTTGAAATGCTGCGTGCAGCCTGGGGCCAGCTAGGGAGCCCCCAGTTGGTCCGGGCTGCACATGGCATTTCAAAGCGGCAGCACCGCATGGAGCCCATGGTCAGCTGGGTACTCCACGCAGTGCTGCTGCTTCGAAATGCCGTGGGGAGCACAGGCCCAGGGGGAACTGCTTGAGTCCCCACAGTGTTTTTGCCTTTGAAGGGTAGCACCCAGGGCTGTTGCTTCACTTCAAAAGCGGAGGTGCCCTTATCGACTAATCGATGCAAATTGCATTGACAATTCGATTAGCCAATGAATCTACATTTAACATCCCTAGTGCCCACCTTAGAGGCAGCACGGCCAGTTACCTGTCACCATGACGGTGCGGATGTTTGCGTTCCTTAGCAGGTGGATCACAGGTGCCGTCTCTGCCTTGAGAACGTTTCTCATCACGAGGAAGCCAAGGAGACTCATTCCACTCTCTACGGCGTCCCTGCCAGGACATAACGGGGCACATGGCATACGTGTCAGACCCCAGAACAAGAGTAGGGGAGCGATTTAGACTAGGCACTGGTGCAATGCTGTCCGATAGCAGCTACTTTAGCCGGATTTGGAGTCTGATCCTTAAAAAAAGCCACTTAGATCTACTCTTCAGAGATTCAGCTCTCCAGGCTCAGAAAGGACCACTGCGATCATCTAGTCTGACCTCTAACAGAGGCCAGAGAGCTTCCCTGAATTCGTTTTGGCTTCAATGCAGACCCTGGAGCTGTGCGAGGAAGGGATTTTTCGGTTTGCCAGCAAGTCCAAAACAAACAAATTGCTTTGGGATTGAATGAAACAATCATTTTTCAACAGTTTAATAAAATTACAGGACATTGGAAAATGAAGTCTGGGATAAAAAAAAAAAATCCCAAAAACCATTTCATTTTTTTTGTATGATGTAGCTGTTTTCCCCCCAGCTGAAACAATTTAGTGAAACAGACACTAATTTGTGAAATGTTCCAGTGCCACTGAGTCCACCTTTTTCTTCCCAGAAAATAATTTTGGTCAAACACACAGGCTACGTCTAGACTGGCATGATTTTCCGGAAATTCTTTTAATGGAAAAGTTTTCCGTTAAAAGCATTTTTGGAAAAGAGCGTCTAGATTGGCACGGACGCTTTTGCGCAAAAGCACTCTTTGTGGAAAAGCGTCCATGGCCAATCTAGACGCGCTTTTGCGCAAAAAAGCCCCGATTGCCATTTTCGCGATCGGGGGAAAACAAATCTCAACTGTCTACACTGGGATTTTTGCCCGAATGGGAGCAGCATAGTATTTCCGCAAAAAGCTCTGATTTCAGACAGTAGGAAGTCAGTGCTTTTGCGGAAATTCAAGCGGCCAGTGTAGACAGCTGGCAAGTTTTTCCGGAAAAGCGGCTGATTTTCTGGAAAAACTGGCCAGTCTAGACACAGCCAAAGAAAAGGAAGTATCTCTCTATACAGCACACACTCAACCTGTGGAACTCCTTGCCAGAGGATGTTGCAAAGCCCAGAACTATACCAGGGTTCAAAAAAGAACTAGATAAATTCATGGAGGACAGGTCCATCAATAGCTATTAGCCAAGACGGGCAGGGATGCTGTCCCTAGCCTCTGCTTGTCAGAAGCGACAGGGGAGTAATCACTTGATGATTATTTGTTCTGTTCACTCCCTCTGGGGCACCTGGCATTGGCCACCATCAGAAGACAGGACACTAGGCTAGACCGACTGTTGAACATGGCCGTTTTTAGGTTCTAAATTTCATTTGGCTCTAGCTGTCTCAAAGGGCTTTACGTACCACAAGGAGCATACGAGAAACAAGAGAGGAAAGCGAGAATGAAGGAAAACCTCATGTATTGCTCACGCACCTAGTCAGCTGCTGAGCTTCCTCAAAGGTTTTCACAGTAGTTAGTGTTTTGTAGGCAAGTCCCAGGACCCGGAAACCGTCTGTAGTGTAATGTCGTAACAACTGGGAGAAATCCACAGGGACTACGAAAAAAGGCTGCATCAGTTCAGAAAAGCTTACTACAGTCAAGGCACTAGGGAGCCTGCACAGAACAAGTCTGGGAACAAGGTCTGATCAGAATCTGTCCCCTTGTGGGCTACTGGAAATTCCAGAAGAAACTCATTTCATACCCTGTCCACAGAGTGGTTTGATCCCTTCCCTTTTGCTCCCAAGCTAAGGAAGTTCACAGTTATTGCAGGAGCTGGCAATCCAGGTACATGACCTGAAGAGATTTGGGTGGCAGATTCTTAGGCTTCTTCAGTAAGGACTAGGGTTGCCAGATGGTTTAACAAAAAATACTGAACCCCCCCCCCCAAAACATAGGGAAAAAATTCTGTTGAGGGGAAAAAAAAAAAAAAAAAAAAAAGGCGCTGTGCCTTTAAATGGCCCTGTGCTCCTCATTCCCCCGCCCCCACTGGATGCAGCAGGGGAAAATTGTCCCCACTAGGCTTTCATCCGAGGGAAACAGGAAATACCGGGCACCCCGTATTTTCTCTCTCTCTCTCATTTTTTTTTTTACCGGACAGGGGACCCAAATAATGGACAGTCCGGGAGAAAACCAGACACCTGGCAACCCTAGTAGCTACAAGACGGGGGTCCCTACCCTGTACCTGTTTCCTTTTTACAGAGACTGGCCACCATCTCTGGAGCCCCCTTCATGTACGCCTCCACCGGGGCATCGCCAGACAGCTTCACCAGGACGCTCATCCTCTGCAGGGAGGAGGAGAACGGGAACCGGCGGAGAATCCCAGCTGACGTCTTGTGTTTCTAGGGAGGGAATGGAATCCAGAGACATGCCCAGAGGTCCTAAGATTACATGGCGCGTCAGCTGTGGGTAGCAGGGTGAGGTGGCACATACCCCCCCCTCCAGAAGCATGGCCTGCTTCCAGGCAGGTAGGAAAGGCACATCTGGATGGGAGCTCTGGGAGATTAAGGTGTTTTGGCTCATTTAAAAAAAATAAAAAAAGTGAAAAAATCCCCCCAAATGCCCAAATCAAAATGAAAACCTCAAAAAAAAAATCTCATTCTGAGTGGATTGAAAGTTTCAGTCCACTTGAGACAAAACAAGGGGCATTTTCCTGCGGAATTGACCTGAGACGTTTTGGCTGCTCTGAACAAAGGGGTTCACGTCGAACATTCTTGGAAAACCTTCCGTTGGGCTCAAACGGAGCAGATTTCCCCATGGATTTCTCGGGGAGGTTGACAATTCACTCAGCAATTTCAGGCTGCGGGTCGGGTGGGGAGCGAACTGTCGGAGCACTTTGCCAAGGGCTGTGGCGAGTCTGCAACGTGGGCGAATTTGGGATCCGAAGGGGATGGTTTGTAGGGGCTGTTCTGGGGAGGATCTCTGGCCTGCGTGGGACAGGACGTCAGATTCGCTGTGTCTCACGCCACAAACTCTTAGCTGAGCTGGAGAGAGCGGCTCCCCTCCCAAGTACGGTACGAAACTCCCCCCACCCGCAGGGCGCTTTCCTCAGTGGGCCAACAGGCCCCCAGGTCCTCCCCAGCTGACCAGGGCTCACCGTGCCATGCGGCTGTTCTTCCAGAGGTGGCGGCTTCATCCCTGCTAGCACCTTCATCCCGAAGTGCTGGACCTCGCACAGCTCGGCCTCCGCCCCGTCGGCCTCTTCCAGGGTCTGAAACCAACATGCTGGGTTCTTTAGGGCCGTCAGCCCCTTTTCTGCAAGCCCAGCATCCGTTCCCTACCTGAGAGCTGAGCCTGCAGCACTGAGCCGCCCGAAAGCAATGGTCCCAAAGGCAGCTATTGGCGCGCCGGAGGCAGCCCTAGGCTACGTCTACACAGCATTTTGAAGTGGGCCTGCCAGCCAGGATCAACAGACTCGGGGTTTGTGCTACTGCTTGAAGCCTTAGGCAGAGGGTGGGCTCAGGGTCCAAGCTACGGCCATTTTTCAAGCATCAGCACAAGTCCCTCTAGCCTGTGGCCCCTGGCTCGGAGGGTTAGGGTTAAATGCTGTGTTGACCTCCCCAGAGCTTGGCTGATGGCCATGCAGCTGGACCTTCCCTGGCTTTAATGCATAGACATAGGAGCCACGAGAGTCCTGGATCAACGACAACATGCGGATATTTTAGATCATAGAATCCTAGAGCTGGAAGAGACCTCAGGAGTCATCGGGTCCAGCCCCCTGTCCAAACCAGGACCAACGCAACTCAATCAACCCAGCCAGGGCTTTGCCAAGCTGAGACTTAAACACCTCTAGGGATGGAGATTCCACCCCCTCCCTAGGGAACCCATCCCAGGGCTTCCCCACCCGCCTAGGGAAATAGTATTTCCTAATATCCAACCTCTCTCTCTGTAACTTGAGACCATTGCTCCTTATTCTGCCATCTGTCACTACTGAGAACAGCCTCTCTGCAGCCTCTTTGGAACCTCCCTTCAGGAAGTTGAAGGCTGCTATCAAATCCCCCCTTGCTCTTCCCTTCTGCAGACGAAACAAACCCAAATCCCTCAGCCTCTCCTCATAGCTCATGGACTCCAGCCCTCTTAGCATTTTGGTTGCCCTCCGCAGGACCCTCTCCAATGCGTCCACAACCTTTCTATAGTGGGGGGCCCAGAACTGGACACAATACTCCAGATGTGGCCTCACCAGAGCTGAATAAAGAGGAATAATCACTTCTCTAGATCTGCTGGCAATGCTCCTCCTAATGCAACCTAATATGCCATTAGCCTTCTTGGCTACAAGGGCACCCTGTTGACTCATATCTAGCTTCTCATCCACTGGAATCCCCAGGTCCTTTTAAGGGAAACGCACCTTCTGCATTAGGTGAAGTGAGCACGCGGTGAGAATTCACTTCCTGGGAAGGACGGGTGAGGCTTTGACTCTTTCCGGCCTGTACCCACCTGCTGTGTCTTTAGACAAACAAACCCAGCCAGATTTATCGGGTCTCTCAAACTTGCTTAATATTAAACCCCAAGGGTGGCCAATCAGTGGGCTGTACCTTTCAGTCAATAGCTGGAAAACTGGCCAGGAGCCATTAGCCAAGCCCTGGGCTGCATTACCATGAGGAGAACTGAGGCGGCCGCCTTAGGTGCCAAACTGTGTGTGTGTGGGGGGAAGGGGGGACCACTAGGACCCAGAGTGTAGAAAATTGTGTCTGCTGCTGATGCAGATGTGTTCTCGCTGCTCTAGACGCACAGGGATGGGGGAGTGCTGTGCTGGAGGAAGGAGGGCACAAGAGACACAACAGGCAGGCAGGAGAAAAGGGGGCATGGGGGCGTCATTTGAGCTCCCCGCCTCAGGTGCCAAAATGTTGTGGGCCAGCCCCGGCCAAGCCAATCTGTCACGGTGCAGCGGGCCATTTGGATTCAGGACAGCCATCTCACAGGGGCTGGGTTTGGGGGTCTAGCAGTCCTAAGTACACATGCAACAGGCTATCCTAGTTGGGCAGGGAAGCGTATAATAAGGGCTATGCTGGCAAAACGCCTTAAATAACCGGTTAACAAACTAATAAAAGCAAATTACTTTTCTGGGCATAAAGCCATACTTGAAGAATATATAGCTTCATTACAAGGGACTCTTTTTCTGGGCTGAAGGCCAGTCACAGCACAGGCGAAAGCAGCAAAATACCAAAGCTCAGGGATTAGAAGGAATGATGGCTGAAAACCGTAACAAAAGAGCTCTTGAATCTTGTGTGTGAAAACATGTCACTGATTATGGAGACAGTTCACTCATGCGGGCCATGATCCCGGGGGCCTTTATGTGATGTTAAATGAGGAAACAAGTCAAAGAACCGAACGGAGGGTTAAAGTTTGCACAGGATCAAATCAGGAAGTTAAAACAGCAAGCAGAAAGTGTCAGCAACCGTACAGCAGCTGTGCCTGGCTTAGAGCTGACAAGAAATGCAGGGAAGACCAGGAGGTTGTGAGGTAAGGTCCAGCCAATAAGGGGGACACAAGTTAGGCTGCCCCAGACAGGTTAGAAACTGTTACAGCACCTGTTGGCTGGCCCAGACAGGGTTACCTGCAGCAAGGAAGGGCACTGGGTTGGCAGACACAAGAGGCAGGGACGTGGGGAACAAATGCAGGTTGTGCAAGGATGGGAGCCACACTCACTCTCCTCCCAAAGGCAGGATAAACTCCAGGCATCCTGGCTCCCAGCCCTCTGCTCTGCTCCACCAGATTAGGGATGTAAAACTTCAATGAACTGGCTAATCGAATAGTCGATGCACTTTTCATTGACTATTCGATTCGTCAATAAGGGCACCTCCGCCTTTGAAGTGTTGCTGCAGGGAGCACGGGGTCAGTGGGGACTCATGCAGTTCCCTGCTGGCCCTGTGCTCACTGCGGCATTTCAAAGTGGCAGCACTGCATGGAGGAGGGGGTCAGCTGGGGACTCAGACTCCCCCGTTGACTCAGCTCCATGCAGTGCTGCCCCTTTGAAACGCTGCAGGGAGCTCGGCACCAGGCTCCACGTGGCATTTCAAAGCGGCAGTGCTGCATAGAGCCCGGGGTCAGCAGGGGAGTCCCCCGCTGACCACACGCTCCACATGGCACTGCTGCACCGGGGGGCTCCCAGCTGGCCCCGGGCTACACACGGCATTTCAAAGTGGCAGCACCACGTGGAGCATGGGGTCAGCAGAGGAGTCCCAACTGGCCCTGGGCTGCACACGATATTTCAAAGTGGCAGAGCCACACAGCCTGGGGTCTGTGAGGCGCTGCCACTTTGAAGCACCCCCCTTCTCCCTCCCCCGCTGCCTCTTTCTGATAGAAATTTGCTTATCGGATAGTTGACTAGTCATTCCCATCCCTGCTCAAAACCCCACTTCCTTCCCAGCTGGAGCCATTTGCTTTATTTGACGTGCATGCAGTAATGTGGCCTTGCACTACCGCGCATGTGGCTCCAGTCACTATAGCTACAAGCTTAACAGTGATCATCACCTCTGCCTCCCACTGGCGTGCGGACGGGGTGTGCCGGGTGTGCCCAGGTACACCCTAATGTCTTAGGGTTCCCAGGTGTCTGGTTTTCTACCGGACAGTCCAGTTTTTTGGGGCGCTGTCCAGTAAAACAAAAAATCCAGAAAATACCAGACATGTGCAATGTCCGGTATTTTTTGGTTTTCTGACTGGGTGCCTGGAAGCCTGGCTGGGGGATTGGCTGGGAGGCGGAGTGCGATCGGCGCTGGGAGCCCTGGTTGCATGTGAAGAGGAGGGGCAGCCCAGTTCTTGCTACTGCACACTGGTCAAGCGCGTGGTGGAGCCGCAGCCAGACTGACTCGTGCTTCACCTGGACCATAGGAATAGTGCCCAGGTCAGTCCTGCTCCCCACGGGCTGCTACACTCCTCTCCCCCCGCCCCCTCCTCCCCCACTTCTCCTCCTGATCTTCCCCGGCCAGCCCCGCTGCACCCCACACCAGCACTGCTTCCAGCAGCCAGTTCTCCCCTTCTCCTCCTGAGCTCCCCTAGCCAGCCCCCCCCGTCCCCCCCCCCCAGCTCCCGCTGGCTGGCCGGTTGGTTCTCCCCAACTTCTCCTCCTGATCTTCCCTGGCCAGCCCTGCTGCACCCACTGCCAGCCCTGCTTCTGGTGGCCAGTTCTCCCCTCCTCTCCCGATCTCCCCTGGCCAGCCCTGCTGCATCCAACCCCCGCCCCTGCCACCAGCTCTACCTCCCGCCTGCCAGTTCCTCCTCCCAGCCTTCCCTGGCCAGTCCCGTTGCACCCTCCGCCAGCGCTGCTTCCAGCAGCCAGTTCTCCCCTCCTCCTCCTCTTGAGCTCCCCCGGCCCGCCCCGCCCCCCCCCGCCCTGATCCCCCTGGGCAGCCCTCCACCTCACCCCCGCCAGCTCTGCTTCCTGCCCCCCTCTTCCTCCCAGCCAACCCCACTCTTCTACCGGCCAGTCTCCCCCCCGCTATGAGGTGTGTCCAGTATTTTTTTTTTAAGACTATCTGGTAACCCTGTAATGTCTCCATAATAAAAAAAAAAAAAAAAAGGGGTTTTGTTTTAGTTTTAAAGTATGGATTGCTGTATTATGCAATAAGCGCCAAATTGCACATGTAAAAAACAAACTAAGAAGTACAATGTCCCATACTTAAGTTTGTATTTAAGTAAAGTTTAGTTGTTAATTTAAAAACAATTAAGTTTAGTTAAGTTTTAGTTTCTTTAGTTTTGTTTGATGAATAAAAATAACGTCCTTTATGATTGAGTAGTCAATAAATGTTCGCCTTTAAAAAAAAAAATTCCCTGGGTGCACACCCTAATGAAATGTGCTGTGCATGCCAATGCTACTACTTGATTCACATGCGCTTCCTAGAGACTCTCAAAGACCAAGGGTCACACAGACAGTCACAAGTACAAGGCCTAGTTAGTCTCCTACCAGGTCTATTAAAGTCACAATTAAGTTTATAATCCCCAAGCATTTAAATCCTGTACAGACCAAAGCACGAGTTACAAATATGAGATGACATGTTAGTTAATCCGAACACTACACAATAAATCAAGTATAAAATTAAGAAATTGGCTACAGAGCTCACAGTAGAACTCACTTTCATTAACATTTTTACATACGGGTCAAGCTTTTCCTTTATGTTCTTTTCTGTTCAAACCCTCCCCTTTTCCTCTTTTTCCCCTCTTGTACTCTTCACTGGGCTCAGTTGGCTAAACTCATTGCTGCTTCCTCTACTGTAAAATGCCTTCACAAAGTTAATTAATCTCCACTGGCTCATATTTCTTACACCGCTGCCTCCACTTTGGTCCTCTCCCTTTGTTTTAAGGGTTATAATTATTACAGAAACATTCACTGAACAAAGTGAGGCCAACTGGACACGCGGCGAGAATTCACTTCCTGGAAAGTGGCTCTATTAGCGCTCTTTCCTGTGCCGCACTCCGGTGTCTTCAGACCATAGGTCTGGCTGAGCTCGGTTAGGGGGCTCTTGAGCGTTCTCCGTACCCAACGGCCAGAGCATGGCACCAGTGGCCACCCCTCACAATGCCCCGATGGCGCCCTCTCTGCAGCACGAACGGCTAGGAGGACAGAGGCTGCAATGCAGAGTCTGTGGGGTCGGGTAGGGCAGAGGTTCCCAACCTATTTTACACGAGGGACCGGCAAACCCATTCACAAACGTTCGGCAGACTGGTAACATCGTATTTGCACATTTGCATATTCATTATGCAAATAATGAACACGCAAATATGCAAATAAAATGATATCTGTCTGCCTGGCCCCAACCCAGCCCCTTGCTCCTCAGTGCCAAAAACCCTTTGCCACCACTCCTACACCCCATGCCCTTTGACCTTTTTACCCAACACCCCTTTGCCCCAACCTCACCCCCACACACGCCACAGCAAGGCTGCCCCCTGTAGGGAGCGGGGTCATCACTGCTGCATGGGCAGGGGGAGCGGCCATTGGCGGCGTGTCCCCTTCATCCCCAAGTGTAGAGGTGGGAGCGGAGAGTGTGGAGCCCAAGCCAGGCCGCCATCTTAACTGGGTGGGACGGAAGGAGGCTCTTCTTGCCCCGTCTCCTCTGGCAAAATCAGCCACGTGGGCAGGGGAAGCGGCTGTTGGAGGCGCGTGAGACTCCCTCCTCCAGCCCCCCACCACGCGGCTCTTCCAGCCTGGCCCCCAGAGCCACCATGGCCCAACTGCTGGGGTAGGGCGTAAAGTGACAGGAAACGGGCGGGGAGAGGGCCCTCGGGCTCTGAGAGGGATACAGAAGGCCGGCCGCTCTCTCCTCCCGTCCACAAACCACCCACAGACGATGCAAGCCAACACCCCCTCCCCTTGCAGCTTCCAAACTTCCCCGGTGCCCCAACAATCAGTCCAAAGCCTTCTGCTCGCACCCTGACTCCTCTCCCTCTTACCCAGCCAGTAGATTCCACCATCTTGATGTCCAGGGGGTCTCCGATGGGCTGCCCATTCAGCAGAGACACACCATGACAGGTGGCTAGCGAATACAACAAGGGGCCGTCGGCCAAGCGGCGGGGCTCATGGGTGATGGGCAGGAAGCAGCTATTCTCCACGGGAACGACGCCCCAGACATCCAGGCCTTCCTCCGTGAGGGTCCCTGTCTGCAGCCAGCAGGAGAAGACAACGTGATCAGCCCCCAGGCTGGCAGGCGGTCAAGCCAGCTGCAGCCCCAGCGGTGGGCGTGCCAGAGGATTCACCTTGTCAAAGCAGACCAGGCGGATTTTCCCGCACAGGTTGATCCGGGGAGGGCTGATGCAGAAGACGCCCTGCTTCTTCAGCCTGTTCTGGGCGTAGATGGTGCCCACGGTCATCGCAGCGGGGAGGGCCGGGGGCACAATGACCGTGATGAGATCCAGTGCGCGGATGACTATTTGCTGGAGAGGAACCTGTCCACGGGCAACAGCCAGGCAAGAGCACACGAGAGCGGAGTTTAAATTGGGCAGAGGGGGTTCTGCGCAACACACCAATCCACCGTGCAGCACGGGTGATCGGATCGGCATCAGGAGCAGATGATCCAGTAGGCACCAACACCCGCCCCATGCGTCTCAGCTGTATTTAATCAAGCTAAACCAGTGTTTCTCAGCCAGTGATACGAGCACCCGTAGGGGTACTCGAGAGAAGTCTGGGAGGGATGTCAACACAACAGAAAATTTGTTGCAAGTTTTACAGCGCTTTCTTATTTTTGCACTTTTTACACCCAAAAATGTCATCGCTCGCCCGGCTACGATGAAGTTGTTTAAACACGTGTGTTGCAATGAAAGAAAAATATTGTGAGTGTCTGAAAACTGTGGGGACTGGGGGTACTTCTAATTTTTTTTTAAAGGGGTACTTTATAAAAAAGGTTGAGAAACACTGAGCTAAACCAACCGGCTTCTGGCCAGCTCTTCACTGGCAGCCTAGGGTTGGGAGTCCCTGGGATTTCCCAGTTCCTGTCCCATCAGGGAGACACAAAAGCAGCAAAACCTCCCCTGAGACAGCAGAAAGGAAAAACTCCTCCCAATGTGATGCAGGCGTCCAGAAGCCCTAGCTCCCTTTCGGCCCCGGCATTTCCACAGGCTTGCTCATTGCACCTGCTGCGATCTGACGATTTGCAGCCGGGCCCCCCTGCAGGTCTCTTCCCGCTTAAAGGGGGTGGCTCTAAATTTAGCACCTTCACCTCTGCTGCCTTCCTCAGTCAAGCCATCAGCCATGCAGAGCCCAGGAGAGTTGAACTGGGGGTTTATTCTGGGTCAGCCAACTCCTGAGCTGCAGGATGCGTGTTACTAGTGGGGACGAGAGCAGGAGCAGCCCGAGGCCGGCTGCAGCAGCTGGCGCCCTAAACGGAAGGCACAATCGCCGCTCCTGCCTGCACGGCCGTCAATGGCCCTGACGTCATCATCGGGCGCCCGGGGTAGCGGCGCCATAGGCAACTGCCTAGCTTGCCTAGGCTCACGGGCTGCCCCTGGATGAGAGAGCCAGGAGGGATCCAGAGCAGATCCAGGTGCAGTCTGCAGAGCTGGCCGCTAGAGAAGACTGGAGGCAAAGCCACGTCGAGGGCTGCTCCAGCGCCAGCGTCTTTAACGAGCCCAACTTGTCTGGCCTGGTTCTAGTCTAAGCCCTGGAGCCAAATCAAAGGCTGCCTGGGGGGAGCCAGGAGGAGAGAGAGATTTTCCCGTCACCGGCGGCTTACCTGGTTTTTAATCAAAATGACGATGCTGTAGGTGGTGCCAACAAGAGCTGCAAGAGAGAGAGCGGGCGGCTGTAAAAGGGAGTCGTCCGTTAATTGGACGCTGAGCTCCAGTCTCCTGGTGCTTGTAATGCCGCCCCCTTTCGGACGTACCCAGAGCTGCAAGGAAGAGGACAAACTTCACCGCGTCCTTGTAGAACCGGAAATGCACAGGCTTGGGGTAGAGGATGGAGCTGATCAGGTCTCCTTTGGCGGTGCAGAACCCTGGGAGAGAGAGGGAAACCAGATGGCTACGGAGCTGGAAACTTGCCCTGGGAATTGTGGCGTGAAAAGCCGCCGATTTGGGGAGAACCAAAGGAGCAGGCCTACGACTCTCTTTGACGTAACAGCTCCCTGGCGAGCAGACAGGCCCTTCCAACACAGCTGGAAACCTGAATCTACACCCAACACGATCACTCGATGCACATGACTCTGCAGAGGGGACACAGCTCAACCCAGCTCCCAAGTCAACTCTGACAGGCTGTGATCTCGGCTCTTGTGCGAATGGGATCCCCAACCGCCCGTGCATGGGGGTCTGTGCCTGCACCTGTGTGTGCATCTGTGCAAGGAGTCTATTCCTACCTCCCGGGGCTGGGTGTGCCTTACGAAAGAGCCACAGGGCCAGCCGCTGAGGTGAGTCACCTGCCCACATTTTCCCAGACAGCATAGCACTTAAAATGCCACTGTCCCTGAGAGAAGGGAAGATTTTCCTGCCTCTTCAGCAGAGCTGAGCTCCAGCCGACCTCCGCCAGTGCGGCAGGGAACCCCCAGCCGCACGGGTGGCAATCTGAGTCTCCCGGCTGCAGGTGCGAGCTGGTGAAACACGTGGGGAAAATGCCGAGCAGGGTCAGCGAGCACGGCACAGCCCGCAGCTCTCCCTGAGGAGCGGGAGGGCCCAAAGAGGGCACTGCAGAGAACACGAGGGGGAAGCAGGCTAAGTGCAGAGAGCAAGGAACCGCCAGCGGCCTAGGAATGGTACAGGGGCCAGCACGAGACCTGCTCTGCCACGGTGCCAGGCTACACAGGGAGGCAAGACTTGATTTTGGCTTCCAAGAACATTCTGTTCAGCGGAGCGGAGCGAAGCCAACAGCGGAGCCGCTCACAGAGGTGTATCGGGTGGGGAGAACTCCAGATGGCCTCTCGTCTGGGCAGGATCAAACAGAACCAGCCCCATGTGGCGCATTCAGGGAGGAATGATACTTGAACATAGGAACGGCCAGACTGGGTCAGACCAAAGATCCGCCTCGCCCTATGCCCTGGAATGCCCCAGAGGGAATGAACCGAACAGGGAGTTAGAGTGATCTATCCCGTCGCCCATTCCCAGCCTCTGGCAAACAGGCGAGGGACACCCTCACTGCTTACCCTGGCTAATAGCCATCGATGGACCTACCCCCCATGAATCAATGGAGTTCTTTGTCCAACCCTCTTATAGTGGTGGCCTTGGGCGGGCTAGTTCCTGGGTCACGCTACAGCCCAGATGGGACCTAAGGACCAGGAGTTCCGGTTGGCTCCCAAATGCACCTACCTGTGCGTGTCACCACAGCCAGGACCTCCTTGCCCACGTAGGACTTGGCTTGGAGGACCTGCGTCCCGCAGAACAGCGTGTGCCGCTTGTGCTCCTCAGGGGAATAGACCACGTGGCCAGCTTGGGGTCCGTTGGGTAAAGGCGTCTTCATCACTGGGGCACTCTCCCCTATGGGAGAGAAATCAGCTGGTCACTGAGGCTATGGGCAGACATATTCTCTCTCACACATGCTCCCCCTCCCTCTCCACTCACCCCCCTCTCTGTTTGAGTTCTCCCCGCGTGGCAGTGGGGAGAACAAGGGCAGGTGAAGAATCCTTCAGAACCCACCGTCCTGCTCTTGGTTCCCCAACCCACTGTTCGAAAACCCCCTTGCTGGCTGGATCCACCCTCGTGGCCAAGAAGGGCCCCATTGCTGGAGTCCCTGAGCAGCTCACAGTCTTTGCAAGTGTATTATCTTCCCAATGGCAGGACAGGGCTGTCATCCTGTTGCACAGGTGGGAAACTGAGGCACCAAGGTCCTGAAAGATGAAGACAGGTGCCCAGGGGGATCTTCAAGAATGCCCAGGTGTCCAACTCCCATGGGGAGCTGGGCACCAAGGTGCATATGAACATCCAGCTAGACACCTGCCTGCATCTTTGGTGCCTAAATACCTGTGAAGTTCTGGTCCTAAGTGACATGCACAAGGTCACACAGGGAGTCAGTAGCAGAGCAGGTGCCTGCCCTAATTACATGTCTCCTTGCAGAGCTAGTGCTTGTTGTTCTGATGGGTGGCCAGTAGGGGTCTCCACCCCACCACGTAGAACCTGCTCACCTGTCAGCATGCTCTCGTTGACCATGCACTCCCCGGTGAGCAGCGCGGCATCACAAGGGACTAGGAACCCTTCGGTGGGGACACTAATGCAGTCACCTGGCACCAGGTCCCACGAGTTCACCAGCACCTCCTCTGCAAAGGCAGGCAAGCCACAGCGCAATCAGAGACTCCTCCCACTGCAACAAGCAGGCACGTGGTGCTCGGTACCGGCACTTCTCACAGCGACCCACAAAGGAGATAAATGGCACTGCCCCCATTTTACAGAGGGGGGCCCTGAGAAAGGCTCCCAAGGTCATGTAGCAGGTCAGTGACAGAGCTGGGAATAGACCCCAGGCCCTTGGGTTAGGACCTTGGAGACTACAGAGGGGGGCCCTGAGAAAGGCTCCCAAGGTCATGTAGCAGGTCAGTGACAGAGCTGGGAATAGACTCCAGGCTACCTTGGGTTAGGACCTAGGAGATGCAAAACTGGCCATGTATCCCCACCCTTTGGGTGTATGTAGGCAGGTGTGTCTTGTACTTTAGCAGTCACTCCCACTAACGGCACGTACCTTGGGGACTAGCCCTCCTAGAGTCCTTCCTGCCCCCTCTCCCTTTAAAGCGATGGCTCTCGACCCCATCAGACTGCTATCCCTGACTTGGATCTGTGTTGTGTAACCAAATCCTACCCCACTTAAAAATGACTCACTTCCAAAATTAGACATCAAAATACAACGTACCCCAGACCACGACTGCTGGCAAGTGGCTGAGCATTTCATTTTTACCATATCGTTATAAAATAAATCTACTGGGATATACATTCTGCGTTCACATTTCAGTGGACAGAGCACCAGAAACCAGTCATTTATTCTTGGATCTGGACTTTTAACACTCCAGTCATCTGAAGAAGTGGGCTGTGCCCACGAAAGCTCTTGATACCATCGACACGTTTTGTTAGTCTTTAAGGTGCTAATAGACTATAGGTTGTTGTTTAAGTGTTTTTCAGTCACTGTATGCAATTCTAGCACACAGTAACCTCACTAGTGCTTTTTAGGTAGCCTGTTGTAAAAGCAAGCAGCTATCTAAATGAGTTCATGTACTCCCTGGAAGACCTCTGTATAACAGGAGGACTGCGTGTACCGCTGGTTGAGAGCCCCTGCTTTAAAGTAATGGATCAGCCTGGGTGTCACAAGGAGGAAGGAGAAAATTTGTTCCTCTTGGTTTCTGAGGACAGGACAAGGAGTAATGGGCTTAAAGTGCAGCAGGGGAGGTTTAGATTGGACATTAGGAAAAAATTCCTAACTGTCAGGGTGGTCAAATATTGGAATAAATTGCCAAGGGAGGTGGTGGAATCTCCCTCTCTGGAGATATTTAAGAACAGGTTAGACAGACATCTGTCAGGGATGGTGTAGACGGAGCTTGGTCCTGCCTTGAGGGCGGGGGGCTGGACTCGATGACCTCTCGAGGTCCCTTCCAGTCCTATGATTCTATGATTAATCATTCAAGTCCAAACCCCCACTAAAGAACTTGGCGGCCTGCTCCATCTAGGATCAAGGCTGAACTTGGAACTAACTGGTTCATAACGACCATTTTAAAGGCTTAAAATGATTTGCTCTGGTGCTTTTCATGTCTGTTCCCAGCGGTTGCTCAGTTAACCGCAAAAATACCCTGTGTGCAACAGGCGAAGCATCCGGTCCGGCCTACTCCCAACCCGCACCGCCTCCGCTGACCCGGCTGCTCAGAGCGAGGACAGGCCTGGCCTGGTCTTCTCCCACGCGGCAGGTGCCTGCCTTTCACAGGGCATGGAGAATGACGACCTGCTGCTGCTCACCTCCGTCGGCCCGGCGGACTCTCACGTCGATCGCCATCTTCACCATGTTCCGCAGCGTGATGCTTTGCTGCAAGAATCCAACACAGCTCTCCGTTGGCGGGGCAGGGAGGGGGCGGCACCCGGCTGGGCTACGTCGCGGGGGCTCGGCTAGAAGGGAAACGGCACCACACGACGGCAGGATGGACGCCCCGCTGGGATTCACGGCTATTAAGGCCAGAAGGGACGATATAGGCCCCCAGTAGCCTGTGATGCCCGCACCAAGGCCATGCCTTCTGGCTGCATTAGAGGGGCTCTTTCATAAAGCCCCTCGGGGCTGATGCCCAGACTTCACGTGCCGGAGAATCCACCCCAGATCTGGCTGCTGTCTACAATCTCGGGCTTGTTTCTTCATCTCTCGTCTTCCTTTTTCAGCCTCTCCCAACCCCTCCCCTGTTTTCCCTTTTATACAATAGAGCAGAGCTGGACAATAATTTTCCACAGGAGGTGGGCACTCCAAAATTTTGGAAAGTGGTCGAGGGCTGCATTCTTCCATGGTATTAATGGAAGAAGTGTGGGTCTAGGATGGAAGTTGGGTACAGAAGGGAACTTGGGGTAAGTGACTGGGGTGCAGAAGGGAGAATGGAGTCAGGGAGGGAGTTTGGGTGAAGAAGGTGGTTGTGACCTAGGGCAGGGGGACTGGAGTGCAAGGGTTTGGGGTGTGACGTAGGGTAAAAGGGGATTGTGATCTGGGCAGGAGATTGGGGTGCCAGATCTTGAGGGGGTCTGGGTGCAAGAGGGGAGCAGAGGGTTTGGGTATGTTGAGTCGGGGGACAGAGAGTCGGGGAAGGGAGGGTGCCAGAGGCAGGCTGTAGCCAGCAGACTTCCTAGCCAGCAGCCAAACCAGCTGCCTGCCTGCAGAGCTAAAAGCTTGCGGAGCTTAAAACGTTTCCCAGCCTGCTTGCCCGGCCATATGCTTGAGTGAATAACTGAGACAAGGGGAAGGGGCCTGGTTCTTCTTGGCTGCCTGTTATTCAAACAGGCAGCTCCCATTGGCCAGTTTCAGGCCAGAAACCGGCCAGTGGGATTGTACTGGGGGCAGGCGCAGCTCCTCAGTTCTATGCATTGCCTATGAAGAACTTGGTATCGGTCGCTGTCAGAAGCCAGGATACAGGGCTACATGGACCATGGGTCTGAGCCAGGACGGCTGTTCTGATGCTCCACAGGTACAGAACTGGAGTAACTCAGCATCCGGAGTCACCCCCCCATGGGTACCAGACAGCAGAATGCCCCTCCCCTCCCGCGGACGCCTCCCACCCACCTTTCTCGTCTCGTAGAGAGACAGCCCAATGGATATCGCAGAGATGACGAATATGCAGGCAGCGTAATAGTAGTAAGTGTCACAGATCCACAGAACGATGCTAAACGCCTGGAAGATGTAGAAGGGATTCAACACCTGGAAAGAGAGAAAAAGTGGGTGACTTTTACAGCCTTGCTGCTCATGCCGCCAGCGGACAAAGAAACTCACAGACTCGGTACACTGCCGCTTGCTGCAGGACAGGGAGATTTGGGCATTACAGGCAGTGCTGGGGGAACAGGTCGACAGAGCACGTCACAGCCCCCCTCCCACCCCAGTTCTTTGCCTAGTGGTTAGGCACACTAGCCATATCTCGCAACCTACTGCAGTGCACACCCCGTTGGAGCTAGGGCTATGTCTACACTATAGCCTTTTTGCAGAAAAACATATGCCAATGAGGCTAAGTGTGGAATAGCTCCATGCTTCTGTTTTTGCGCAAGAGGCTTTTGCACAAAAAGGAGTCGTCTCCCTCCCTTTTGTGTGCAAAACCCCCCTCTTGCGCAAGAGCCGTTCTACCCCATTTTTTCAGGAAGAACGGCTCTTGCGCAAAAATGGGTGCCCATTAATTATGCAAATGAGGCACGACGATATTCCATGCTTAGCCTCATTTGCATTAGCCTTTTTGTGGAAAAACATTTGTGTAGACATAGCCTAGGAGACACTAAAGTCCCGGTGCATTGCAAATGCTGCAGCCTGACCACGGTTAACTGTAACCTTCTGTGGTCTGGCTTCCCTGCTTCTCACATCTCATCCACGCCCATCAAGTCAGGCCCAACTGCATCTGCTGACACAGTCGCCTTCCCGATGCTCTGATCTCGGCACATTAACACCCCTGCAGAGTGCAGAAGGGCACTTCCCCTGCCGGCCAAGAGAACCAGAAACACATGGCCTGGCAGCCTTCCAAACCAACAGGCAGTGAGGAGAGAAAATAAACCACACCCGTCACCTGGCCCACACCTGCTCAGCCCCTGACTGGAGACACGAGAAACATGACAGGTGTTTCACGAAGGTCTTTTCTAAAATGTCACGTCACCAGGGTTGCAAAATCCTGTTTAATTAGTTAGACAGTGAAATGCTGAATTTAACCAGTTAATCAATTAAACTGGGAGCAAGCCGGGGGTAAAGCCCCTACTGGTTAAATGTTAAGGGTGATGCTTACCGGTTAACCCTTCATGACATGTCACTGTAAACAGTGGCAGGTGTCAAGAAGGGTTCTCAGCTGGTGAAACAAACCCCAGAACATCTGTTGGTCTGTCAGCTCCCGAAGGAGCCGTGGACCAAGGGAGATCTATCTTCTCGCCAGGGCTCTGAAATGGGTTGTATCAACGGGCCCAATGCTGGAAAAGCCTCTGGCTGGCAGACGCGCCCAGGAAGAAGACTGTATTAGAGCAGCACAGAGACGCCCCAACTGAGATCAGGGCTCCCCTGCGCAGGCGCTGTGCAAACACACAGGGTATGTCTAGACTACATGGCTCTGTCTAATTTAAATAATTACCGCTTCATTTAAATTAAAATGGCTGCAGCGCTGGGCCGATCAGCTGTTTGGCGGCACAGCGCTGTAGTCTGGACGCTCCGCGGTCGACATCAAAGGCATTTGTCGACCTCCCCAGTAAACCTCATCCCACGAGGCATAACAGGAAGGTCAACAAATGCCTTTGATGTCGAGCGCGGAGCGTCCAGACTACAGCGCTGTGCTGCCAAACTGCTGATTGGCACACCGCGGCAGCCATTTTAATTTAAATGAAGCGGCGATTATTTAATTCACCGCTTCATTTGGGTATGTCTAGTAAAGTAATCTACACGGCTCTGGCGACAGAGCCATGTAGTCTAGACATACCCACAGTAAGAAAGTTTGTAAACTCTTCGGGGTGGGATTCTAATCAGACAAGACACAGGGGAGTGGACAGAAGCAGCAGGTAGTCCAAGGTCACCCCAGAGATCAGCAACAGAAAGCGGAAGCTAGTCCAGATCCCTAACCACTAGGCTCTTGTGCATTCATATTCAGCAGCTTCCTCCCTAACCAAGAGTGGGCCTATCACCACACCTGGCTGGCACAGAATCTATTTCTACCAGGTGTGAGTAGGCGACAGCTGCTCTGTCGCTCCTGTGGAAAGCAACAGGGCAAGTTGCACGTTGTAGCTTTGTACCTCGTCCACCAACAGCCGGAGGTAGGATTTGACTGGCACATCAATCAGGTTTGGCCCATAGACCTTTCTCCTGTGCAGGAAAAACAGAACAGGAGCCAAAGGTTTTAGGTGAAGAATGTCAGAAGTTTCCTGTTAAGTGACCTACACGTCGCCAGACCTCAGTCCTGGCTCATGGTACAAATTTACAAGGAGAGCAAAGGGCACCACTGCTATGGAAATCTCCGTGCTATCTAGCATGCATGTCGCTTCCTTGAGCAACCTCTTGATTTTTATTACAATCCCTCCCCCCCTCCCCACTCCAATCCCTCCTACAGCTGGTTAAACTCACGAGTGCATCTCAGGCTACGTCTAGACTGCAGGCTTCTTTCGGAAGAAGCTTTTTTCAGAAAAGATCTTCTGCAAAATCTTGCGCAAGAGCACATCCACACTGCCAAAGTGCATCGAAAAAGCGATCTGCTTTTTCGCAAAAGAGCGTCCAGACTGAACGGATGCTCTCGCATGTAAGCTGTGATTGCTATGGACAGAACGGCCACCAAGGCACCAGGGCTTTTTCCTCTTCCCTCTTCTCTTGCTCTTGCCCCCTCCTCCCTGGCCAGACACCCTACTCCCAGACTGGTTCTGCACCCCACCTTACCTCCTCCTGCACCCCACCTCCCTTCCAAATCCTGCACCCCATCCCTATCCCACTCACTAGCAGCCCTGTCCCACACACTGAACCCCTCATTTTTGTCACCCCCCCTCGCCCTCCTGAGCATAGGGTTGTCCATAAACTCCACTAACTCCGGAACCCCAGAAGAGTAAATCTGGCCTATGGAAAGCCCTGAACCTCAGTCCTTCCTGTCCCTCCCCTGAGCCCAGTGGGGCTGGGAGGTCAGAGGAGTGAAGTGTCCCAGTTGAGGGCCACACCTGGGTGGCTTGGGTTTTTTTTGAAGGGGCTGTTTTGCGTCTCACTTGTGTGATCCCAAGCTGATTTTTCTGTGGGTCAGTGACCCCTGACCCAAAAAAGGTTCCCCACCCCTGCCATAAAGACAACATTGAAACCTTTTGTGTTGGACATAAATTAATATTTTATGTTATTTACAATGGTTTGCTAAGATGACAGAAGATGCTTAATCTGTTTAATAATTTAAATCAATATTATAGGTGAAATTACACTGTTCTCCCTAGCTGCAGCACTAGCAAAACGGCTCAGGCGTAATTATGTAATCAATGGTGAGTTTCCATTAGCAACTGGTGGGCTGCAGAAAGGTTTGCATTGAACCAGGTGGCCACAGGCCAAAAAGTTTAGAACCCCTGTGCTAAAGGTAGGTTAGGACACAAGTGAAATTAACGCTGGGGTCCCTACAGAACAGCTGATTCTTATTTACATCAGCAAGTGACGGCATTTTATTAAATGTGATTTTAAAGTGTAATGAACATTTTAGACATATACTGCCCCCCTCCCCAGACCCACATCAGTATCTACAGCCAGTCAAGGCGTGGTGCACTCTGCAGACACACACAACCAGACTGCCTTATTTTTATAACCCTCATCCTTCCCACCCAACTTGTGCGGTACTCATAATATGCAGGCCGCAAGCTCTTTGATGCAAGCTGTGGGGCTTATGCACTGAATTCTCACGTGCCTGGACACATTGTCAGGGGCTGTATAAATAGGGGTGCCAGATGGTTTAACCAAAAATACCAAACATCCCCCCGCCCCCCAAAAAAACCACTGGGAAAAAAATCCTGCTGAGAGAAAAAAAGAAAAAAAAAAAAAAAAAAGGGAGAGACCAAAGTTGTTGGGGGCGGAGGGGGAAGGACCCTGAGAGTTAAACAAAAATAATAATAATAAATACTACTACTAATAATAATAATAATTTTAAAAAAATCCAGCATGGCCCCTTTAAGAAATGCCTTTGAGGCTTTTTGGCTTTAACAGGCTGGCAGCGGCTGGCAGCCATCTTGTTTTCCTGCTCCGGGCCAGACAGCTCCCCTGTGGAATCAAATAAGCGGGGGAGCATGCAGGGGGGGCCGGTCTGGGCCCAGTTGCTGAGTGTGTGTAGGGTTGCCAGGTGTTCGGTATTGACCAGGACAGTTCGGTATTTTCACCTCCTGGCAGGGGGGAAAAAAAAATCCGAAAATACTGGACATTTTAGGTGTCTGGTATTTTCTGATTTTTTTTTACCGGACAGGAGGCAAAAATACCAGACTGTGCGGGTCAATACCAGATACCTGGCAACCCTACGTATAAATAAGGATAAAGCCGCTCATCAGGGCTGGATCCCGCGCAAAGCCCCTGTTGCAGGATCAGGACCTACACAAGGCAGCAACCACAAAGCCGAAATAGCAGGCGCTGCCGCTTAGAACTGGGCTGCCTTGGCGGAAGAGCACATTGCACAGAACCCGCCTGCCCCATGTGACTAGTGCCATCGGTCACCTGAAAGCTGATCTGCAGCACAAGGGGCTGAACCAGGCAGGATCCCGTCAGGGCCCACGAGCACAGCAGGGTCCTGCCGGGTCCGCGATGCGCTGCTGATTCAGCAGGCAGCGGATAGAGGACAGAGCCCCAGCCTCGGCCTGGTGTTCAGGGACATTGTTCTGCTGGAGGGGAAATCTTTTGGATAAGGGCCGTGAACACTTGTCCGTGGGAGCTGGCACAGCTCGGGCCCTGGTGTGACCAGAGTCGGATTTCCCCGCGCTACACGGACACCTGCATGGGGCTCCCGAGTAGCTCAGCCCAGTCCCAAATTCATGGGCTTCGCATTTGACCCAGGCAAGCCGTTCAGAACACACAAGACACCGGCTTAGCCCGGAGGGATGAAAATCTTGCACTCATCCCATGGAGCAGTGCTCACCCTCCCACAGACTGACTGCAAGCCAATAACACATCCCCGCCCAAACCAGCCTCACCACTTCCTGAAACATCTGCAGCCAGATGTGTCCCTGATCGTTAGCCACGGGCTTACCTGGTGCTGTGGTCTTGCTGGCTGAGGCCTGGCCGGGAAAGGTGGATGTCTGCACAGGTCCAGCCGTCATCTAAGACGCTAAGAAACAGACACACCAAAAAGAAGACGGCTGTTACTGATCATGCATCAATCCAGCCAAGTCCAGGTGAGCATATATGGTCAGATACAAAGGTGCCCAAGCACTCAGGGCTGTGAGGCTATTCTCTCAAATCTCAAACCTTGTCCCGGTCCCAACAGACGCCACCGCTTGAAACATAACCCACACCTTTTCCTTTATTTTCAATGGGAAAACTGACCCCGCATAACATGTTTTCACTTAACACGATCATTTTCTGAAACATATCTATAGTGTTAAATGAGGAATTACTCCCATTTCAGTGCACAGAGCACCATATACAAGTCAGTGTATGAAATTCTAGTTTGTACAGACTTTGCTAATGCTTTCTACGTTGTCTGTGGCCAATATTTAGAGGAGTTGATGTGTCCCCTGGAAAACGCACTGCATACCTCTGGTTGAGAACTGTTTACCGTGTGTGTTTATAAAGAGGAAAACAGTAATTCAACACCGAATAAAGGAGCTTAAAGTGAGCCAAACTGACACGACCACTAGGCTGCGTATGCAAATTACAAAAGTTTTCTGAAGAATTGTTACCCTGAAGAAGCTGTGAACCCCCAACTCACAATCTTCATGTTGCATAACGGCAGCTTTGCACATTTAATCTCTTAAGGGGTGGTGTGGAAGAAAACAACCCTTCACCCTGTGTTTGTAAACAACAAGAGACCAGAGGCAGTTTATTCGAACAATATTGCAAGGGAAGCCTGATTCGGGGAGGGGAGGGGACGGGAGGGTCCCCCCCCCTTAGGCAGATCTTCAAATACAAGCAATTATGAAACAGTTTATATACTGTCCATTACATATAATAACAATAAACAATTCATCTCCTCATTACAAAAAAAAAAAAAAAAAGGAGGGGGGGTAGAGATCTGCCTAAGGGCCCGCCCCTCCCCCGACTCAGGCTTCCCTTGCAATATTGCTTGAATAAACTGCCTCTGGCTACTTCTTTCTTACAAACGCAGAGTGAAGGCTTGTTTTCTTCCACAGTGGTTTGTTTGGATTATTAAGCAGCTGTCCGGAGGACTGCTACCAGCATTCCTAAGCTCCCTGAAGCAAGAGGCCCACGCTCAGCCAGATCTAGAAGAATGCAGCTTTCTAAGTGTGCCCGAAACAGATTAAAAGAAATGGCCCATTCTGCATGCTCCACTGACATTTTCAAAGAGCTGCAACTGTGCTAAAAGGCAGCCAGTCCTCCATCCCAGCCCCCAAACCAAGCCAGGACATTAACCAGCAAGGGCCGTGGCCAAATAGTTTTGAACTTCTGATCACAAAAGTTTGATTTTGGATCAAATTTAGAACTTTTTCCGAAACCTTCACCTTTGCGGCTGATGCTTTCCAGGCTTAGATTCTGCTTGCTGATAAAACATGATTCTGGGCTGCATTAACAGGAGTGTTGTGAGCAAGACACGAGAAGTCATTCTTCCGCTCTACTCTGCACTGATTAGGCCTCCGTTGGAGTACTGTGTCCAGTTCTGGGCACCACATTTCAAGAAGGATGTGGAGAAACTGGAGAAGGTCCAGAGAAGAGCAACAAGAATGATGAAAGGTCTAGAGAACATGAACTATAAAGGAAGACTGAAAGAATTGGGCTTGTTTAGTTTGGAAAGGAGACGACAGAGGGGACATGAGAACGGTTTTCAGGCATCTAAAAGGGTGTCACAAGGAGGAGGGAGAAAAATTGTTCTCCTTGGCCTCTGAGGGTAGGACAAGAAGCAACGGGCTTAAATTGCAGCAAGGGAGGTTTAGGTTGGACATTAGGAAAAACTTCCTAACTGTCAGAGTGGTTAAACACTGGAATAAGTTGCCCAGGGAGGTTGTGGAATCTCCATCTCTGGAGATATTTAAGAGCAGGTTAGATAGACATCTATCTGGGATGGGCTACATCAGAGTTTCCCAACCTATGGGTTGGGACCCAAATATGGGTCGCCATTACATTTCAAAAGGGTCGCAAAGTGTCTCCCCCGGTTGCTCTGCCCCTGTCCTTCTCCCCCCATTTTTGAATTGCCTTTGGTCACCACGTCTTCCTGAATTGTCAAAATGAGTCCATATCTGGAAAAGGTTGGGAACCACTGGTCTAGATGGTGCTTGGTGCTGCTGTAAGGGCAGGAGCCTGGACTTTGACCTCTCGAGATCCTTTCTAGTTCTAGTGTTCTATGATTTATGCAACTTCAAGTAGAATCTGAGCATGCAAAAATCTGAGTCCTATAGGGGAACATTTCAGAAAAAGAGTAAAAACCACGGGGGTATTAACCACACCTCGAACCTTTGAGCCGCAGTTCCCAAAGGTCAGAATTAAGACCGCATTGTACAGATGGGGAAACTGAGGCTCAAAGATGTGATTTTTGCCCACAGTCACCCAGCTGAACAAGGAACAGAATTCAGGGTTCTTGGTCTCAGTCTAGTCTTTGCCAAATTAAATGGTTTCATTTGTTTCCCTGAAAAGTTGAACCAGATTAAGAAGTTTGTGTGTGTGTGTGTGTGTGTTTTTTTTTGTTTTTTTTTAAGTGCCCCCGTTGGCTCAGGATTTTCAGCTCATCAGGAGGTATAACAAGACACCTGAAATCACAAGGGCGAAGGGTGTCTTGTCACAATAGACACAATCGCTCTATACAAGGCACAAGCCCTACCCACGTGAGGTTGGGAAAAAAATACCTCTGAGGTTGTGTCTACACTGGGCCACTTATAACTTGCCAGCTGTCTACACTGGCCGCTTGCTTTTCCGGAAAAGCAATGACGATCTACTGTAAAATTGTCAGTGTTTTTCCGGAAAAACTATGCTGCTCCCGTTCGGGCAAAAGTCCTTTTCCGGAAAAACTGTTCCGGAAAAGGGCCAGTGTAGACAGCACAGTAGTCTCTTCTGCAAAAAAGCCCCGATCGCGAAAATGATGATCGGGACTTTTTTCCGGAAAAGCGCGTCTACATTGGCCACATACGCTTTTCCGGGAAAAGTGCTTTTCCGGAAAAGCATCCTGCCAATGTAGATGAGCTTTTTCTGGAAATACTTATAACGGAAAACTGTTCCGTTATAAGCATTTCCGGAAAAGGGTGCCAGTGTAGACGTAGCCTGAAAGTTTACACCATGAAAGCTTCCGAGAGGGGGTCAGTCAGCAAGTCTCCCAGGGGAAGTGGAGTAATGCACTTTTCCCTGGCACCCTGACCACAGCAGTTACACCACAGAGACTGATTTCACAGTCCGACGGCTTCAAAAGCTCCCGGCTTGGACTTCAAACAAAGTACAGCTTCAGGATCGCTGAGGCCAGATGGGAACGTTTGATCAGCTTGTCTGAGGTTCTGCACAGCAGAGGCTAGCGGAGTGTTTTGGTGTCACGGTCTGTGTGTTTAATTCACATGACACAACAGGAAGGGGGGAGAAGTGGACAAGAATGACCCCTCCGTGTATTTACTCTCCTCTTGCCTCTACATTCTGGAGGGCAACTAGAGCGTATTGCAGAGTTGCAGGCTAGTTCTAGGCCTGGCCTAAGATGAATTCCCGTCCTCCAGACCAGGGTCTCCTGCCCGAGGGCACAAAGCAGCCTACTCCGCCCTGCCCGCTTGCTCAGCTTCTCCGTGGCAGCAGGAAGCAAAGTGCCCCGGCCCTAGTGTGCGTCACTTCCCGTGGGGCATGGGAAGTGGGGCGCAGCGGGCTGGGAGGGGGCAGCAGGGTGGGGCACAGCAGGCCGACAGACCCCACCACCACAGTGAGGGTGGGGGAGAGGTGGGGATGGACAACCCCTGCTGCCATCTTGTGCCAAGCCCATGTTACTCCCGGCTTACGTTGCTCGGGGGAGGGGACAGAGCAGGGCGGGAAGGGGACAGGACCTACCCAGGGCCCCATGCCTGAGGCATGGCACTGCGGGTAGCCCCCACCCCCAGGCATGGCCCTGCACAGAGCCCTGGGGGAAGCCCAGAAGGGAGACGGTCCTCCAGCCGCGAGGGGGGATGCCATACCTGACCTTGCAGAACGCCAGCCGCCTTTCAAGCCAGACATAGCGCGACCCTTCGAAGAGATAGTAGCGCATGACGTTTTTCTAAACACAGAGAAAAAACACGTGAAACCAAGTCCCCAGCTCCCCACGCACCTCAGCCCCTCGTGGAGGTAGCTCTGAGGGCCCCCAGGGCAGGGCCCGAGGGACGTTACCTCCTCCTTCCTGTGAAGCCGGATGGTGTCTCTGCTGTCGTCCTCGTCCGACACGCCCACGGCGACGCTGGTTCTCCCATCCTCAGCTCTGGCCCCAGGCTGATGCTCGAGGCTTCTCGAGAAGAAAAGCACCGTGTCAGCATGTGCAAAGCCCTGCTCCTGCATAAAGGCACCATCTTGGGGGGGCTACAGAGAGCACAGAGCTGTGGCATGCAAGTGTGGCGAGGCCACATCTGGAGTATTGTGTCCAGTTCTGGGCCCTCCACTACCAAAAGGATGTGGACGCATTGGAGAGGGTCCAGTGGAGGGCAACCAAAATGATTAGGGGGCTGGAGCATATGACCTATGAGGAGAGGCTGAGGGACTTGGGTCTGTTTAGTCTGCAGAAGTGAAGAGTGAGGGGGGATTTGAGAGCAGCCTTCAACTTCCTGAAGGGAGGTTCCAAAGAGGCTGGAGAGAGGCTGTTCTTAGTAGTGACAGATGGCAGAACAAGGAGCAATGGTCTCAAGTTGCAGTGGGAGAGGTCCAGGTTGGATATTAGGAAAAACTATTTCACGAGGAGGGTGGGGAAGCACTGGAATGGGTTCCCTAGGGAAGTAGTGGAGTCTCCATCCCTAGAGGTGTTTAAGTCTCGGCTTGACAAAGCCCTGGCTGGGTTGATTTAGTTGGGATTGGTCCTGCCTAGAGCAGGGGGCTGGACTTGACGACCTTCTGAGGTCTCTTCCAGCTCTGTGATTCTATGGTGTGGGAACCCTGGCGAACTCCAACAGTTGCAAATTGCAACTACGTGCAACCCCGTCTTACAGTGCCTCTCGTGTCAGCCCCCCAGGCAATCCATGGGAGGAGGAGTCAATGGGGCTCTGATGCTAAGAATTCGGAAGCTGAACAATTGCAGTCTGAAATCACGCTCTTTTTGAATAGTAATAGAGAGGTAGCCATGTTAGTCTGATCTTGGTAAAACAAAACCAAACAAAAATCAGGCATGTAGCACTTTAAAGACTAACAAGTTTATTAGGTGATGAGCTCTTGTGGGGCAGACCCACTTCTTCAGATCATATTCTGAAAGCGAATCGGCATGATCATTATATAACCGAGGGATACAATGAAAAAAGAAAAAAAGTTACAAACTCGTCAGTCACTGCACCAAAGAATCAATGCTCATAGATCAGACATCAGAAATCTCTATACACGCAAACCCGTCAGCCAGCATTTCAATCAAACTGGCCATTCCCTTAAAGACCTGACAACATGTGTTTTACAACAAAGAGACTTTAACATCAGATTACAGAGGGAGAACTCAGAACTTTTATTTATGCTAAAATTCAACACGTTGCGAAGGGACCTTAATCGAGATGATAATTATCTTCCACATTACAAAGACAGCCTCCCCAACTTTTAATAGTCGTAGTGACCCCAGATTAGCCACTTAACTGACTCTTACAGTAAGCAATTTTCTCCTTCCTTGCCACTCCCCCCCTCCCACCTTCTATGTAGCTGATTTGTCAGTTTGTAATTTTTTTCTTTTTTCATTGTATCCCTCGGTTATATAATGGTCATGCCGATTCGCTTTCAGAATATGATCTGAAGAAGTAGGTCTGCCCCATGAAAGCTCATCACCCAATAAACTATCTTGTTAGTTTTTAAAGTGCCATATGCCTGCTTTTTTTGGTTCTTTTTGAGTTATCTTTTTGACCTGCTGACGGGGGAGAAGGCGATTCAAAGGGGCCTTTTGGAAAAGAGGTGAGCAGAAGCCCCATGCCCTTTAGAATCACCACCATAGTGCTTCACCTTGTGCTCCAGGCAGCTCTTAGGGCTGCTTGGGGAGGTGGGGCCACAGTGGGGCACGCTCCAGGCAGTGCTGAGGGCTGGCTGCCCCACCCCACCCCTCCTGCCCGAAGCTGTACCCCTTCCGCGGAGGCTGTCGGCTCCCCTGTCCGTGGCCTACTCCATGGTCTACAGCAGGCCTACTCAACTTTGGAAGGCCCAGAGGCCACAGTGATACTCACAGCACATGCCGAGGGCCGCAACTTAAGTGTGGTTTCATATATATGCAAATATATGCAAATAACTTTTCACACGGATAGGCATGAATACAAAGATTAAGACTTCAGTTGCGGCGCTGGACCCAAACGTGGCCAGTGAGAGCCAGTTAGCACCTCTCAGGCTCTGCCTACAAGGCTAAGCAACCAGCACTTCCCACAATGCCCTGGGGCTCCCGGCACCTCCTCCCTTGGGGCTAAGAACGCGGACACCCTGTACCCGTCTGTTCCCGCCAGCCCGTCTGCTTGCGTCTTTCAGAGCTCACCCCGCCTGGGAGACACCTCGCCGTTGTGGAACGTGTTCAAAGAATCCCACCCACAAGCCATGTGTTGAACCCTGCGTAAACCCAAACTGCACTGCGGGCCGCAAACAAACAGCCCCCAGGCCATGTGTTGAGTAGCCCTGGTCTATAAAGTTTCCCAGAGTAATTCCTGCACAGGTGAGCCCTTGCGAGCTGTTCTAAATTGCTCTGAAGATGCAGAGAGCTATGCAAGTGCGAAATGTGGATTCCTCTCGGAAAAATGCGGCGTCCTCTCGGAAAAATGCCCATACAGAAATGGCAGCTCCTCATGCAACCAATCTGCATCTTGTACATCTTCGGCATCACGTGAGCCTGCTCTAGCAACTAGGAACACAGTCTAGTGCTCTTCACTCCTGTGAGCCCCACAGGGTCCAACATTAGGTCACCCAAGTAAGCTAGTCAAAAAGGAACCATCAACCAAATCACATTTCTGTCAGAAAGGTTTTGTTTTTTTAAAGCTACCATTGTTATTCATTCCACCTGCCATCACTAACTGAAGGATCAGAGGAGAAAACACGCACTATTTGAGCCGTTTACTTGGTGTATTACTAATTTCTTTGGGCTGTTTGGGTCTTTCACACAGCAGTAAAGGAGAGAGAGTAACAATAACTTTGAAAAGCAGGAAAATGTGATTGCCAGCACCACTTGCCAGACGGAGTCCGGGGCTGCTCTACTGTCTGAAGCTAGCTGCTCGGGTTTACACGTCTCCCTTCACGTCGGTTTCATTCCACGCAGCGAGCCCCCAAGGGATCGTTCCCTCCCTTGGCAGAATCGCAACGGGATCGCTTGAGCATCGGCCCAGACTCTCAGGAAAGAGCGACTCCCACTCACCTGCCCTCGCCAAGCTGTTCCGTTTGCACCTGGGTAACAAAGCACTGGCCGAAGCGGTCCTGGAACATACAATCACAACGCAAGTCTTGAGGAAGGCTGGCCCGGGTTTTAGGATGCTTGCTTGGGAACAATAAGTCCAGGGCTCAAGTGTCTGCTCTGCCACAAAATCCCCATATGACCTTGGGGAAGTCACTCAGCCTCTCCAGGCCTCAGTTTCCCACCTGGCCAACAGTGGAGCCTCACAGGGCTGTTGTGAGGATAAATGCTAAGCCCCTAAGCGTCCTGCTTTAAGCATTAGGCCACGCTGTCCAAATAAGCAATCCCCCCTGCCCACCTCACTTTTGTAGAGGGACGTTTGTACACGACAAACAGCAGGGAGTCCAAAAGGGACAGTGGAGCGCTCAGCTTTGCAGGGGGGCAGAGACAGAAGAAAGAGGAAGCATCCTCTGATTTTTAATTTTTATATGCCCAGTTATGTAGGAGCAGTGTGGATTAACCCAGAAGTGAGTCCTTTCTCATCATTCCCTTAGAGAGCAGGGGCTGCCTTGCTGGAGCGAACTAGCCAGCGAGGTATTCCAGTGTTGAAAGGTTATTTTTCCCTCCTCCCCAGACTTTCATTCAGCTCCAGAGGAGACCAATGTCTCCAAGCTGCATAAAGAACTAGCAAGGCTACAAGCCAGATGGCTTCTAAAATCACAAGGCATGAAAATGCTCATCAAAGTCTGTGGCTACCTCTGACTTTTCACATTCTCCTCCTATGCGTTGCAGAATCCTTGGTAACTGGCTGACCTCATGTTCTCATAATAGCGCCAACAGCTCCCATGGAGATCAGGAGTCTACTGCTTTAGTCCCCGTAGGAGAGCTTCTGCCCTGAAGAATTTATAATCTAATTGGGCAAGGCGGGGGTGAGGGGAGTTAGGGAGTATTATGTCAAATTGCAGATGGGAAACAGAGGCAAACAGGTGCTTAAGTGACTTGCCCATGGCCACACAGGAAGTCTGTGGCAGAGCCAGGAACTGATCCCGCCAGGTCTCTTGACCTTCCCTTCCCCAGTCCAATGTCTTCACCACCACATCCTCCCTCCCCCTCTACATTTACTCACAGTGATGATGATCCAGTCAGCTTGCTGCAGAGGACACGGCCTGCACTTGGCTTGGACCTCCAGGCTCTGTGACTTGCCCATGGCCACACAGGAAGTCTGTGGCAGAGCCAGGAACTGATCCCGCCAGGTCTCTTGACCTTCCCTTCCCCAGTCCAATGTCTTCACCACCACATCCTCCCTCCCCCTCTACATTTACTCACAGTGATGATGATCCAGTCAGCTTGCTGCAGAGGACACGGCCTGCACTTGGCTTGGACCTCCAGGCTCTGTTCTGCTGTCAGCACGGAGAACACGTAGCAAAGGATGATCCGCCATGTTCTGCTTTGGTAGCCGCTCACCTCCTGGGAAGAGGAAAGTGCAGAGCTCAGCCCAGACCCATCCAGGGTAGCACCCCAGAGGTGGCTGCAGCAACGTACAACAGCTGCTATTAGAATGGGCCAGTCAAGTTGTGCCTGATCCCAATGCTCCACTGGGATCCAAGAATCATCGAAAGAAGCTGCTAATGGGCCCTTCCACCCGTGTCAGGTCCACAAACCGTCCTTCTTTGAGTCGGTAACACTGATCCACAAGCCTTGGTGCATAAGCGTTGGCAGGGAACGATTCACATCCACTGTACTCGCAGTTCCACCCGTTTACCTTGCACCCATGCCAAGGCCAGAGGGACCATGCTGAACCTCTCGCCTGGCCTCCAGCACTACCCAGACCGGAGAACTTCAACCCACGATTCTGCCTCGGCCCCATAACTGGCTGATCCAGAGCAGATCTTTCGGCAAGACGCAGCTTCTGGTGACAAGGCTTAAAGCACGAGCGATCCACCATCACGAGCGCCCTTCCTACCTCCTGCTCCAGTTACACCGTTACAGGAGAGAGGGCAGCTGCTCTAGTTTCCACCCTGAGGTCGCAAGAGACACTAGGCCAGCAGACTTTACAATGGAAACATATTCATGATTCACGCATGGATGTCTCTGTGCACGGCACTGCCCAAACACAGAGCAAACACCCCACCCCTACTCCAAAGGGCTGGCACTTGAACGGATAAGACAATAGACAACAGATCAGCTGGTGGGTGATTAAGCATGGTGCTCCCTTGCAGGGCGAGGGCAGGGAGTGACAGACTTCATGTACTACCCCCTCACCTCCAAGTCAATCAGGGCCTGGGGGAGGGGAGCACGTGAAGTCTCCTCCCACTGCCAGGGGCATGGTTAGGGTATTCTCTGGGACGGGGGCCAAGACTTCATGCGCTCCCCCAGACCAATCAGGGTCTGTGCGCAGGGAAGCGCAGAAGTGTTCTGGCTCCACCCCTTCCACCTGAGGCCCCGCCCCTTCCAGCGGCCTGGGGCCAGTTCAAAAAATTCTGAAGTGGCCCCCAGTCAAAAATTATTGCTCACCCTGGCTCTTATCCCATGACAACTTACTGTGGCTCATGTCAAAGGTTTTCTGGAAATGTAAATATACTATGTCTACTGGATCCCCCTTGTCCACCTCCAAGAATTCTAGTAGATTGCTGAGGCAGGATTTCCCTTTACAAAACCACGTTGCCTCATCCCAAGCAAATTACATTCATCTCTGGGTCTGATTATTCTTTACTATCGTATCAATCAGCTTTCCTGGTAGGAAGTTAGACTTACCAGCCTGGAATTGCCAAGGTCCGGTCTAGAGCCCTTTTAAAAAATTAGCATAACTGTAGCTATCCTCCAGCCATTAGGTACGGAAGCTGATTTAAAGGGTAGGTTACAAACCACAGTCAGTAGTTCTGCAATTTCCCATGTGAGTTCTTTCAGAACTCTTGGGTGAATGCCATCTGGTGCTGGTGACTTGTTTCTGTTTAGTGTGATCAATTTGTTCCAAAACCTCCTCTAATGACACCTCAATCTAGGACAGTTCCTTAGATTTATCACCTAAAGAGACTGGCTCAGGTTTGGGAAATTCCTTCATGTCCTCAGCCATGAATACTGATGCAAAGCATTCATTCTGTTTCTCCTCAATGGCCTTATTATCCTGGAGTGCTTTTTAGCATCTCAATCGTTCCACAACCCCACTGGTTGTTTAGCTTCTGATATGCTTAAAATTGTTGCTATTACTTTGAGGTTTTGGCTAGCTGGTCTTCAAATTCCTTTTTGTCCATCCTAATTATATTTTACTCTTCATTTGACAGAGTTCACGCTCCTTTCCATTCCATTCTCTTCGCTCAGATTTAACTGCCACTGATACCAGCTTGCCTGTGACAGCTTTAGAAAGGGCCCTACAGCGAATCAGCCTCGATAGCCTTTTCCTTGCACATATCCCCTCCTGTTTTTAGCCTTGCATTAACCACGGACAGATAGTTTCATGATCTGTTTGGAAAACGTCTTTGTAGCTCCCCGCCTGAAACACTTGTACATACCATGCAGGATTTACTAGAGCCGTGCAGAAGCGTCCCGTAGACAGGTGGCTGGTTCCCCAGCAGCTTGGTGCTATCTGCAAATGCAAACAGAGGAATGCCATGTTACTGGCTGGGTTGGTCGGATTTACTTGTTTTCCAGCATCGGAAAGCCCTCCAGCACACTGAGCGCATGGTGGACCAGGACCGCTGCAAGTGGGATCCTGTTACTAACGGCTCAGAGCAGCGATTCTTAGCCTGTGCCTAGAGCCAGCCAGAGGAGGGTCCTGGCAGGCACACAGGTCTGATTGAGGGGAGGGGTGACCACAGGAGGGCTCCCCGTAGTGGCTGGTAACATCTGAGGCCACCATCAGTCACATACAGCCATGCCAAATAGGTAGAACTGTGAGCTTCGGAGACTGTTTTCACTGTCTGATCAGTTGCAATGCAGGCAAACCTTTTGCAACCAGAGACGGGAACGGAGCATGTGTTGATCTAACTATCACGAGTACCAACAGCAGCGCAGTTGTAATAGCACGGGCCGTACGAGCTAGGGATGTCACTGGTTAACTGGTAAGCACCCTTGCTGGGGATTGCTCACCAGTTACCTGGTGGCCCGATGCGGGCTGGGGGCGCTCCAGCTCAGCCGGGCCCGCCATGCCTCCGGGGGGGTCCTGTTTAAGCAGTTAATGTGTAAAATGCAATGGTTAGCTGGTTAACAGGATTTTATATCCCCAGTTCGAGTGGACCTGAGACCCTGGGTGTGTACTCGGAAGGCCAACCTGTGCCAAAGTCAGCACTGATGCGGCTACATTGTTCTTGTTACATGAGCCAGGTCAGTTCAAGCCAGTTGGGGGACAGCTGTACATGCTACAATCCCACCAGACTGCTGTAGACACGCCTTTAGCCACACGGTTCTAGTTACATAAGAACGGCCATATTGGTCCATGAGACCAAAGTTCCATCCAGCCCAGTATTCTGTCTTCTCCAGTATCCTGTCTTCTGACAGTGGCCAATACCAAATGCCCGAGAGGGAGTGAACAGAACAGGGAATCAACACTTGATCCCTCCCCTGTCACCCATTTCCAGCCTCTGACAAACAGAGGCTAGCGATACCATTCTACCCATCCTGGCTAATAAGTATTAATAGACCTGTCCTCCATGAATGTATCTAGTTTTTTTTAACCCTGTTAAAGTCCTGGTCCTCACAACATCCTCTGTCAAGGAGTTCCACAGGTTGATGGCACACTCTGCAACTTGATTGGCCCAACATGGCTACACTACTGCTGCATATATTAACAAATGTGTAACAAACGAGGAACAAGTACAAAACTTCAGATGAATCACATTTTCTCTAAAGAAGGAAATTAATAAGATATTAAAAAATAACCAAACCCACTAAAAAAAAAAAAATCTATTCCAAGCAGAGTTCTGAGCCTGAAAAGGGAGATGTGTCAGGGATAATCAAATTCACTCTCACTACAGAACGTACACAGAAGGGGCTAAGATACTGTGGTGATGGGCAGCACGACAAAACCCCAAGGCAGAGAGATGAAAACCAACCCCCCTCCCCGCTCCAGTGAATGGCAATCAAATCAGCACTAAGCTTCCAGGAATCCAGCCTTGTGCCATTGGGTCCATTGTACTCATGAGTGATGCCAGCACCCAACCTTAACTTGGCAACACGGCCTTAGGGCACGGGCAGGGGCGGCCCGTGAGCATAGGCAGACTCAGCGGTCGCCTGGGGCGCCACCAGCCCGGGGCGCCCAATGATGACATCACGGCCATTGACAGCCGTGCAGGTGGAGGTGCCAATCACGCCTTCCGCCTGGGGCGCCAGCTACCGCAGCCCCGCCTCGGACCGCTCCTGGGCACCGGGGCTTTATTCACCACGGCTTTGTCTACACTCAACAGCAGCAGCAGGAACAGCGGGAACCTTTCCCCAGATGGGTCCCACATTTAACTGTGTGTGTGTGTGTGTGTGTGTCTATGCGCCCCTCCCCCTTCTCTTCGCAAGAGCCACACCACAGTGTGCAGCAGGCTGAGCCGTTGGGAGGGGGATTCCCCCCCCCCAGCTTTAAGACCCACCTTTCAACAGAGAACATGGGGCGGTCACGAGGCAGCAGCCTTCAACTCTCGCTTCCTGCTTAGCACGGCCTGGGAGAGGCACTTTCCCCTTTTGTACACAGGGAAGATGAATGCAACTTGGCTGACTCAACGTCCCTCTTCAGTGTGAGGCTGCTGGTTCTGGGGCATAGGGATGTGAACGACTAGTCGACACACTAGTCGACTACTCGCTCCTCCCCCGGCCGCCTCTATCAGAAAGAGGCAGCAAGGGGGAGGGGAGAGCTGAGGGTGCTTCAAAGTGGCAGCGTCGCATGGAGCCTGGGGTCAGCTGAGGACTCAGATCCTCATAGGGCCAGCAGGGAAGCATAGGGCCAGCAGGGGACTCCGCAGCGCTTTCACCCGGGGCTGTTGCTACACTTCAAAGGCAGAGGCGCCCTTATCGACTAATCGAATAATCGATGCGAATCGCATTGTCTATTTGATTAGCTAATTCATCGAAATTTGACATCCCTACTGGGGCAGGCTCAGAAAGGCCGAATGGAAAGGCTAAGAAATCCCTTGAACTTACACGGGTGGAAATTCTCATTTGTTGTATTGCACTTGGGCCGTTGGCACGTTAGAAGACCGAATTAAGTCTGTGAGGGAGGTTAGTGAGGCAAGGCAAGTGAGAAGGGCCAGATTCTGATGGACTGAATGGCACCAGAAAGCAGCCTCATTCATTTCAGGTGAACTTTCTGGGGATGACGGGGCTATTCAGCTTGAGAAAGGATGTCAAAAAAAGTCAGCCTTCCAGCTGGGGGCCAGCTCCCCCGTCCCGGTAGACAGATTCCTACTAGCTCAAGCTTAGGGCTTAAAATGGCAACCCCAAGTAACAAGGGTTCAGCATCTCAAAGATGACTTGGGGATCCGAGTTGTGCAGCCTCCGTACCTGTCAGCGGTAGCCATGTCGCTATATCCAGTGGCCAGCTTTGATTACAGACGCAGACTTTCCAGGGGGCCGGAGTTCTGCTGGGTATCTGAAGTGAAACCCTTTCCCAAACAGGTTCCACATTTACACTGCACATCCTCAACATGTTCCTCTCCCTTCTCCGGGCACGAACAGCAAAGGGGCATCTACAGCCCATCGCAACCAAGCCCTTGTTAAAGTGCAAGAAAACACTCGGGAGCTTTTGACTAATTAAAATCCACAGGGGCAGCGGATAAAAATCTGACACACACGCTCTTCTCCCAGTTAAGCACCACAACAAGTGGCTAGCCCAGGGTTCCAGCTGCTGCTAGTTAGGTACCGGGCAGGCCGGAAGATCCAATCTCAGAGGTGGGCGTTGGGCACCTGGAAGCCTGGCCCTGAAGCTAGCTGGTCACTTTCTCCACTCACAGAACCTGGTAGGTTTGCTCTGCGTACCTGCATTTGACTACAAACATTTCCTTCAGGCTATGTCATAGATTCATTGGGAACAAGCCAGAGCAACTGTTTCATTAAACTCAAGGCTATATCTCCACTGGCATGATTTTTTGGAAATGCTTTTAACAGAAAAGTTTTCCGTTAAAAGCATTTTCAGAAAAGAGCGTCTAGATTGGCAGGGCGTTTTTCCGCAAAAACACTTTCGCGATCGGGGCTTTTTTGCGGAAAACAAATCTCTGCTGTCTACACTGGCCCTTTTGCGCAAAAGTTTTTCGGAAAAAGACATTTACCCGAACAGGAGCAGCATAGTATTTCCGCAAGAACACTGACGATCTTACATGAGATCGTCGGTGCTTTTGTGGAAATTCAAGCGGCCAGTGTAGACAGCTGGCAAGTTTTTCCGCAAAAGCAGATGATTTTGCGGAAAAACTTGCCAGTCTAGACACAGCCAACAGTCCTAGGTAGGACCCCAGAAAGTCTGAGAAGCCGGGAAGAGAGTAGAATTATTGCATGCTCCGGCTCTGTTAGTTATCCACCCAATGCCACGTGACAAGTAAATCTGCCATACTGTATTCCTGGCAGGTCCGCGATGCATAAAAATTTGGGTGACTACAAGGCTGAAACCATTTGCCCTGAATGATTTAGAGCAGGGGTACTCAAGACGCGACCCGCGGGTGGGAGCCAAAGCAAAAAGTAGTCAACAGAATGGTCTTCTGATGAGCTGCGTTTTAGTAGTTAAATTCCTGGACTGTCATTGCTCATTAAAAGTGCTGTCATAGGGGTGGAAATCAGGTAACTATTGCATTTTATTAATATAGCAGAACTGACCGAAATGGGGCCTGTGTGTTGTGTAGTCTTGCCTTAATCTTTGTATTCATGCCCGTCAGTGTGACAGAAGCTATTTGCATATATATTTGCATGTACATGCAACCACGTTTAAGTTGTGGCCCTTGGCATGTGCTGTGAGTACCATTGTTGCCCCTGGGGCTTCCAAAGTTGAGTAGCCCTGGGTTAGAGTTTAGACACAACTAACCCTGCATCTCGGCAGGGGGCTAGAATGGACAATCTTTGTGGTTCCTTCAAACTCTGCAGTTCTATTATTCTATTGTAAAAACCGGAGATAAACAGGAAAACATTGCTAGGATTTAAAAAGGGGGGGGGGGATTGAATAAAAGGGGTCTTTTTCAACCCAAGCTTTCCCTGGCTGTCTTTGCAACCCAAATACTGCAGCTCACGCACCTGAAAGCGCAAAGAAAATGAACTAAAAACTGACCATCCGAAAGGAGGTAGATGAGATCTATGTTTTGTCTTTGCCTTTGCACACAGACAGCTAGAAGAACAGTAGCACTTTAAAATGTCTCTGGTTTAAAAAGAGGATGTTGGCAAACAAGCTTTGCTTCGATACCTGGTCAGGTGCTTTTAGCCCTGTCGGTTCAGGAGAATGGAGAAATCCAGCTCCCCAAAGTCCACAGCGAGGTTATTCTTGCACAGCTGCATCTTCGGCCCGGCCACCTGCTGATCCTGCACACACGCATGTCTCATCTCCCCCTCTCATCCCAGCTGCCTTCCGATAATCCCACTCTCGTCAGGATTTCCCAGCTGCTTACCTGTCTCAGAGCAGGTGGCGAG